CTTTTAATAAAGGAGTTTTTAGATATTTGGTCATGTGATCAATCCCTTTATATCCCAATTTTTTAATGCTATCTGATTTCAAACACACGCAATATTTCAAGCCGATATTTTGCTTTTAAATTCACTGTTACATTATTCTTATTATTTACATTAGCTTTTCTTTACCATGGCATGCTTTCTAAGGTTTCTGTTTGAAATTGTATAATCATCTACCTTCTGATGCACTCGTCTCTGCAGAAAGCACGTGGACTAAAATAAGCTCTGTATTTTAATTAATCTATGTTTTATCATTTTTTCCCAATTAATCAGAAATAGTGCCAAGTCAATATCATTTCCTGAAAAATTTTGCAGCACATGTCACATTTTGAAGAACATGTTTGCTTTTTTCTCATTGTACATCAATGAACATCAATGAACTCTTTCAAGGCTAAAACTATTTTCCTTGTAACGATCGTATTTTGGAGTAATAACCCGTGTGTAAGAACAAGCTAAAACCTCTTCTTGTATTCGTAGCACGTGGAAATATAGAAATTGAAGTATTAAAAAACTTTGTTGCCTTAAGGTTTCCTCTATAATTTACACCAATATTGGAATGTGAAATTTTAAACTTCACGATAATGCTGATAAGCTGAATTGATACGAAAAAAAAAATCTGATGAGACCATTTCTTTTCTTTTTTTTTTCGATTGATCCGCTGCTATAAATGTAGCCATCACAAAACATTTTACCGGCTCGTATATATAATATTTAAATTATGTAAATGTACAATGCAAAAAAAGAGAAAAAAATGAATCAGCATTCATTTAAAATTAAAAAAAAAGTTCCTGAAAATCTTTTTCTTTTAAACGTTTCATCTAATTTTATATGTATATAAGAATGTAGCTTAGAATTGTATACGATACAAAGTAAAACATAAGAAATATGAAACAGTCTTAAAATTTAAACAAGAGTGTGTCCACATAACAAGCATTTAACATTTATTTAATTGCTTGTTAAACATTAAGCAATTCCTGTGTTTTGTGTCTGTGTGTGCATGTATGTTTAAATAACTTAAAGATCCAACAGTCAGAGTGCAAATTGTTAATTATCCTTAAATTTCGTGTGTGCCCTATGATACTAGAGTAAACAATGAAATACTTGTTGTATTGATAGATCCGTAAATTGTGGACGTTCCTTCAACTTCAGAGCATTTTTTAAAGATTGATTTTTTTCAGGTGATTTCGTCCATGACGAATTTCAAAATACAGTTTTTTTTTAAAGTCATTTTTTTGTTTTCGTTGTTTGATTTTTATTTTTCTATTGAAATTAAGCATAGAAAATTTGTTATTTATATAATTTAAAATAGTTTATTATGTACAAGATGATTACAGATGTTTGCTTATCTGCTTATTATGTATAAGATATTTACAATTAGTTGTTTTTTTTCTATATTTAAAGCTATGTATGATGTTAAGGATGACGTTTACTCAGGTTTCAGAAAACAGAAAAGAAATTATATAAAGTATAATATTTTAAATCAAAAAATGTTCTAAATGGATAAAACAAGCAAGTTTTTAATCAAGATCAATTTGAAAATCTAATATTTTATTATTTAAAGAAAATATACAGGAACAAATGTCAATGTATGGTGATGCAGAGGAAATTCGGACTAGATTTTTAATTTTCCTTTTTTGTCAAAAAATTTTATTTCTTTCAATTATTTCAAATAATTGAATGCTGTGAAATAAAGAAATTCAAAATTATGTACAAAATCCATTCAAGACAACATATCTCAATAATTTGATGATTGACCCCATATAATATGAATACCATGAGAATTAAGGCAATGAAAGTAATCTGAGGCTATCAATAGTTTAGAGTTCTTATCAGTCAGATTTTTGCAATAATCGATTAAAAATGGGGAAAAAATATAAATATGACAGAGGAAATTCGGACTGTAATAATTATCACATTTATGAACCAAACTCCAATTCTTTCTTTATATGAAGCAACGCTGTTCCATTGCTATAATATTTCATTATTTAAAGAGTTTAGTTGCTTGTAATATTTTGTGTATATAGAAAAATTGGTCATAGTGTGAAAAATTGAGGTATTTCCCGAGAAATACTCAGGGGTCACTAGCATGAAAAGTAGGTCATTGACCTAGTTATTTGAAATTGAAATTTAACACAAGAATCATGAGTGTACAATGTACAATAGGTAGTGTTTCGTTCTAATCAGTGGAATTTTTGGTCATCCTGAGTAAAGGTATACCTTAAACAACTCTTTTAAACAATATATTGTGTGATATTTAAATAAAAAGATAAAAAAAAACAATATTTGATCTACATGTAACAACTGTAGGAAAAAAGGTTGCATGTTATTACTTTCCTTTAAAAATCCTTATTTTTTCAAATGTCAAAAAAGTATTTGACTTTGTTTTTATAATCCACATTTGAAAAAGATAATTTACATGTATAGAATATGTTGAAGCACAGTGCGTCTAAAGTTTCCTCTAAAAATTAAATGTTACAGTAGGAAAGTGGTAGAACAAAAGCTGAAACCGGTAAAACATCTTTTTGTAAGGTTTCCATAAAAATGAAGTGATATATCTTTGTTTATGAGTTTCGTGAAATGAAGGGGTCGGGTATATATATAGGTAAGATAGGGTAGTAACATGCCAGCTTATTCGAAGTATGATTAAAACCAAGCCCTTCTATAAAACAGATGTAACAGGGGATCAAGCCAAAAATACGATATTGCTACAAGCTTTGTTTGCAGGAACTATAACACACTCTTCATGGAGTCTTTTTTTTATTTCTGTATCACCTTCAATATAGTAAAAATCAGACGGAGTGATTCGTCTTCAACTCAGAAACACCTTTCTTCAATATATTCCTACATCTGTAGTATATTTAATAATCAATTCTGACAGAATGTTCAAGTCTTATCCTTTTTGTGCCCGACGTATGGAATTATCTTCCACACAATTTATCATATAATTGAAGCTATATCTGCAGCTCAATCAACCCTGTATTAAGGTAAAGGAATTTTTTTTTATTTTATTACTGCCTGGAAGTTATTTTCAACTACTTTACGTTAACAGTGCTGATAATGCCGTGTCCTGTAGTTGATTATCAATAATACACTAAGTCTTGTCATTTTGTTTTAAAGAGAATGAAACTAGTCCGTCATGAGTACGCCTGCTATAAGCGTTTTAAGAAGAACAAACAATTAAATTTGACATTATCTTTTAATTATCCTTTACTATTAGTTAGGGATATACAAGTAAGTACTAAATTATAAGACACTAGTTTATTTTGATTTTCCAGTTCATTTATAGATTAATTACAAAATTGAAAGAGCGAAACATCTGACAATATTAAAAATATTGTAACTTTACAAAACAATCATTGTCTGAATAAATGACAGGAAATACATGTATACCTAGTAAAAACAAATAAGGCTTTTGAATGATGAAAAAAATTGATTTATATTGTGTTCCTGAATGACAGCATTTTATCATATTTATTAGCTATCCTAAAATCGTTAGACATCATTTCATTATACATGAATTTGCAAAGTTTTACCTTCTAAAGAGCTAACTGTATTCAATAAAGAAACATATTATACTCTAAAATAATTTGAATAATTGGAAACTCGATACAAAAAAGAAAAACATACATGATTCTTGTAAATTAATTAAGTCACGAGTAAAATATTTTTTTTACACCAGATGGCGTAAATCTTTCTAAACGTCTTGTACTTTCTATATTTTTCTACAACAATGGATGTTCTATGCTTGTCTTAGCATCATTCTAGTTTGTGTCAAGGACACACTCCAGCCTTTGAAGTAGTACCAGCTTACCCCTTCTCCGTGATTGTTATTGCCGTATTCACCGTTTAGATTTGACCGGTGCCCGTCGGTGTACCACCAGGCCCCTCGCCACGTCTGCGCATTGTTTCTAGTGCTTCCACTATCGTTATCATTATCAAATGTAGTAAACGGGCATCATTGTGGCAGTGGATAACTGTACACGAAATTCCGTCACCTGTAAAAAGAACAAATGTCCTTGTAAAGAGCTGTGTAGATTTGTAAGTAACGAAAAATTTCTAATATAGCATATTTTAAAGAATTTAATGGGTATTTGAATAATATTGCAATATGAATTTGAATTCCATATCGAAACGTTTTACTCTGTTATGCTTACCAGCTGTTCCGCTGTACCCAGACACATGGATTCGGTAGTTGTCTTCCTCTCCCGCTATATAGAAACTACTGTACTCAGCATACACCGACTCTGTACCGTACTCCAATTCCATACGTAAAACTGTATATCCATTGGTGACCAACAAACGGATGTTGTCAAGTCCTTAAAACACATAACATACATACGTACGAAATTGATCTTGATATATTCGAAACATATCTGACATTACGTGAATGATTGTATAATTCTATGAGGGCGTAAATTTGAGTTTGCTAATTTGAGCAATGTAAGGAATCTTTTTGGAAATTTTTCACTAAAACACGATGTCAAAACATGTTTTCTAGTATTTAACTTTTATAGAATATTAAAATGAAGTTCTATAAAAATAAAAATATAAAATATATTCTCTCAATGAATTTTACCGCGAAATCAACAACTGATATCAAATATGCCTAGTTTAATTCCAATACAGTATTTGAATATGATGAGGATATAGTTTTCAATTGCACAAGAATCAAGGTTATTACTGCCTTTTATTATATTCGTTTACAGGATTTTAATATTCTAACACACCAATCCAGAACTCAGAGTTTAGGTCACCAAATCCGTTTTTGTATTCCGTCCACCCTCTGTAAAAGTTCACAGAGCCATCAATTCGTCTTTGCATCATCTTAAAAAAAACAAAACAAGCAAAGGTATGCTTTTTAAAATAGAAATGATATGTCAGACTTTTTAAAAGACATATGAGTATTATCTTATTTTTTTAAAAAAATTATTGATAACTTGAACTGCCTTTATTTGTATATTTACCGTCCAAATATGACCGGCTGTATTCATACAGTTAGCAGGAAACTGTTGGCCACCCATCTTCACTGTGGTGGTCAAAAACTGGCCTACAGGAGGTGTTACAGCTCTACAATCGCAGTCTAAAAACAAAGTATGTTGATAACAATTTGTGAATTTGTTCTAACAATGCAATTCATAGGTTTATGTTCAAAGAACAGCTTTGCGTCAGGTATTATACCTTCTTTTTTTTCTTTGACAAACTTCTTCTAAGACAAATTTTTAAGACAAAACGGAAATTATAAAGGTGAGGAAACTCTAAAAAAATTGAAGCGATAATTTATTTAATTTAAGCATTGACTTTATTTTCAGAAAATTCTCAAACAGATATATAACGAACAGTCATCAATGTTATTAATGAGGAAGACAATTAATGGAGAAAAAAGCAAACAGACTTGGTCCCCTGTAATGTTCAAAGGTGGAATTGGACGCCTTAGAGGAGTGAGCAATCTTTAAATTTCAGCCGGTTAGGCAGAATAAAGAACCTTCACTGCTCACTGACACTGAGTGTTGAATATAGGTCATGATTTGAAGTCCTAAACCTATGTATGATGACGTTTCTATATTTGAGTAAAAAGTCTCAAATGCAGTGTAAAACAAGAATTTGTTAACCAAGCATCCTATAGTAAGTCACACGTCCAATTAATAATTGGACGTTGCTATTAGAAATGTTTAAGAAATTTTAAAATAAAAATTTATTAGAAATTAGACTATTTAGAAATATAAGGGTAGAGTATGCTTATATCATCTATCTAACTGTACTAAAGGATGTGTATTTGATAAAGGGAGGGTGTGTTTCTTTACTTTTCGGAATATAATTTATAATTTTCTCCCAAGTAGATATATCACTATATACATGTACTCATATTTGGACCTTTATTTGGAACAAAGTTGCATTTCACAGTGAGAGTTCTTCAACTTTTGAATGTTTATCGTGACACAGGCCTATGGTCTCATGAAAAAGTACACAATAAATGTATCATCCAAGGAACCCACACCTTTTCTTCATAATGCTCAGTGCGTCGTGGTCGGGAGGTCGTGAGTTCGAATCTCGGCCGCTACTAAACTAAGTTATTAAGAATAAATGGGTAGCAATTGTCCCTTCGCCACGCGCTTGGCACTTTGAAGTGGAAGTTGCGTGTCCAACGGACCAGACCCTAAACATCGAGGCCTCATATAGGCGTTGGCACAATACAGATCCCTCACTATTTTCCTCGCCCTGTCTGTTAAACGAAGGTAAAAAATTATACCCTTTACCAGTATTTGGTGACGTCTCTATATGAGTGAAATATTCTCGAATTAGACGTAAAACAATCAACACTCGATCAGTAAAATAAATTGTTCAGCGCTTGACTAAGGATAGCTGCTATTTATTTTTTATTGAATTTTGTAAACTGCAGTCGAGGCTTTATTAAACTTACTAACCTCTTTTCCTCTTTCTCTTCACCGGACGTGATGAAAGAGTTAGAGAGACTACATTAACGGTAAAATTGGGTTCCTGCAGATAATGTTTGTAACAATACCGTCTTTGTTTGTAAAGCTCATTGTTAGCAGTGTATTTTGAAAGAACTTTGTTTTAATTCTATGTCTGTCAATGTAGCATATACTCATAATTTACTTTTTCGGAAGATAATCTTCAAATTACATTTAAGTGTTTAATGCTTTTCATATACCAGTAAACCAAAAGGTTTGGTTAGTCTTAGGGTCGCTGAAATGACCATAACAGCAAGAATAACCTATCATCGGGTCATATTTTGACTGGCTTGTTTTATACAAATTGTTAGGCCTTTGTTTTATGCTTCATCAGACAACAGAAAGTTCTGTCTATCTGCTCAATATGTAGAGCACATTGTGGGCGTGGTCGATCTAGAAAGACTGCGTCCACCTCCTAGACACCTGTTTCCACCTCTTAAATTTCCTGGGCTCTGTAAGTTCTATGTCCTCTCCACATATTTGTGTTCTTTATAGATCTTTGGAGATCGATCACTGTATGTTAACTTCACCTTGTACAGTATGTACATTATCACAGAAGGAGCGCTCTGCCGACAAAGCAGCCGTTTGATTTTTAACGCAAAACTATTTTCGTTAAAAATGAAAAGATAATTGATTAGTTTTCGTCACAGAGACTGGCTCTTAAATTTTTAATGAAGTAGAAAATATATATATGAAGCTCTTAAAGCCGGGATAATAAAACAGTGATCTGTTTAACAACTTTTTTTAAAGGTTTTTATAATTACCTTTCGTTATTTGATAATAATTTTTGTTAACGTTTTAAGTTTACTTAGCAGTTAGTTGATTGACTTTCAATAAACTATTTATTATGATCTTCTATGTTTTGCTTCTTTTAAAGACTATTTTTATCAATGAAAGCATAAAATAAAGTTTTCAATGTAGATACGAAGGCTATTCAATAGATAATGTTTTCAGTGCTCGGAAAGAAGCAAAAGACGATTTCGTCTGAATTATTTAACTTCAATCTTCTCTTTGAACACATGTCCATAACATTTTTTTTCCCCAAATTCTGATTGTTTTTAGGACTGATTTTTGAGAATAGTTCTTCGTATACTGGATTATTGCATATCCTATGATTTCCTCGACTTGTTTCTTCTTTCTGGAAGTTTTTTTTTTCTATTTTGGAAAATGAACCAAATCAAAGGGTGACAGATCTGGCGATTATGATTGGTTAATCAATATTTCCTTTTTATTTATCCCCCAAACTCCTTTACACTTCATGGTGTGTAGGTGGAGACGCTGTCATGAAGAAATTTAATGAAATTAAATTTAGCGACCATTAAATACTTAGATTTTTTACTAATAAATGTTTCTTTGAAATTTTGTGATCTACCCCCAAATTAATGCCTATTAAATCTGATTCTTTACATGTCATTTCATTGGAGTGTCTCGAAAAGCCATTGTTTTCCAGCTTCTCAAAATGAAAATGTGAGATGAAAAGGGGTCACATAAACTGATATCAGGACTTTAAAGATTCAGTCATGAGAGAAACTCAAGCTTAATGCCATATGATTTCTGTATTGTATGTCATAGAGTCCAGGACATCATTCATTGAACAGCCCTCATAGTACACGTAGAAATAACATTAATGTAAAATTATAACACTTAAAACTGTAATTTGTGTATGAACATTAAATACACTGGCCGTAATGATATCAATTAATTAATTATCCAAGAAAGAGGCGAATACTTTAAAAATACAAACTCGTAGTACCTCTTGGGTTAATTATTCACTACATCAAAAATATCTTCTTTTTCAACAACTGAAAGCAGCTCACTGACATCATTTTAATTGTCTTATTTCAAATTCAAGCAGGAGGAAAAAAGAAACCTTCCAGCGATTCAATAATAATTAAACCTCTTTGATCATGATTAACAATGGCAATTTTAAAAATGGTTGCAATACTTCTCTAGTCCGAAAGAATTAAATTTCAATTTACTATTGTAATAGATATATATTCCTGCTATCAAATGGTTGAATTCCTACCCATGACACACTGGCAATATCCGTTTCTTCTGTTCAAATAGGAATTCCAGCCACATGTGTGCTCCTATTAATAATTCAAAAATCAAATATAAAATATATGCATATTTGTATATTAATATCGACTGTCTTGCGTTTATGATTTCAAAAGTCATCATGCATTTGAGATAGTAACAAAACTATAACCCCGACTCCATCATTATAACATTTTTCAATCCATATTAGATAAAAAAAGAATCATTTGCATTGGTTTGATTCAGTGCATTACTACATCTCCTCAACAAAGCCTTTGGCCAAAAGATTTCTGACTCTCTTTAGTGATTTGTTTAAAATGTCCTTCCTTCTATATCCTTCTAATTATAAAAAAAATCAATCATATTTCGTGTTCTAAATTAAATCATTTAAGTCACATAACTTAAATGTACCGGATCTGGATATTTTGCGACAATCAAAATCTGAAGATTAAATAAATTATTTAAACCGAAATTGAATTATTATATATGCATTGTAAATATGCTAACATTTTAAGACACTCTGGAGAAAATCATGCTTTATTTTGAAAATGTGAGAATCAAATCTGCTTAATTTATTTTAAAATCATTTCAATCTTATTCTCACCAGTTCATGACGAAAACAGGTATTACTTCCAGTAACCATTGATTTGGAAATGCTTGAACTTAGCCGGCAAATTGTTCCTGTCTCAGATGAACATATTTCTACTGCGTTACAGTCTAAGTTCTTGTAGCACTGAACAGCACAGTAACGTAAAGAGATTTCCGAAATTGCAGGGGTTAACTCGGATATCAACAAAGATGTGTCAGTGTAAGAGACATTTCCTTGATATATAAATTTCCCACTTTCTGTACTGGCTTCCGAATATGGCAGATACAGGTATAGAAAGGTATGGAAAAATATCAAATTTATTTTTTGATTTCGAAAATGTAGACAATCTATTCCCTTGAAGGTCTGCATGGCAGCAAAATGATCGCTGCTCATATTTTACCTACGAATGTTTCATCAATTAAATACAATCCAGATGAGACATGCTAAAATTAAGTTGTTGTGATATAACTGTTGTGTAGGACATAGTTCACTTAGGAAGCATAAAATGTTTAATGCTTTTTCACCGTTTTTTAATATGCTCAAGGACATTGATTACAAGGTGTTAATAAGTTTGCTGAGTGTTTAATTTTAGCAATGTGAAGGTAAAGGTAAAGAGCCTTTAAATGTTCATTGTTCAAAGTTTGCAATGCAAAACTAAAAGAATGGTTTAATTATATATATTTTTCTAAATTTGTGCGCATCCAACCAGTAACAGACTGTTTAAAATGCAGTTGGATTTCCGCTTGATATTTTTAAAAAAAATATTTCTTTCCAAATTTGACACATAAGCTTAATCTAAAATAATCTTGGAAAGAAAATAACTGACGTGTATTTATTATATGTTGACACCAATGGTAAATGTACTAAATTTAAGACCCATATAGATATTGTAAGAAGCCATTCTCTTAAGCATTTAGACTTTTATATATTGAGTGTGGCACTCTATGTCTTGGATTTGTGTGAAACTTGGCACGCATTATTACATTGATAATGAAACAACACTTTTATTATACATTGTAATTACAAAAGAATACATGCACACACTTTTTTTTCAGAAATCACTTATTCATTACAGAAATGGTATGGTCGTACATATTTATAAATAGTAGAAACACATGTTCTGAAAAGCAGAGAAAATTCTGGTCTATACAGTCGAACTACTTACCATTTTTTTCGTTTGTTTTCTTCTTAATCGAATTACCAAATTATATTTATAAACAAAAGAAAGTTTAGAATAGTAAAATACTCTAAAGAGTTTCTTTTAAAAATGCTCTAACCTTTATAATTTTGATAAGAAAATAAATGAAATATCATTGCTAAAACAAAACAATATTCTATTTCATTAATTGATGGCAACATCAGTTTTCATATGTTTGTCGGGATTTTTATAAATGAAGAACTAAAACAGAAGTAATCTCCCTTGGCCGCCATCTTTGACTTATTGGAAAATTTCAATTCATCAAAAAAACTTAATTTAATTTTTTCGAGCAGGCTCGAGCAGCAATTAGGAATCAATAAAAATCTTATACCTTTAAGGATCCTTGAGGGGATCTTTTAAGATTTTTGAGAAATCCTCAAAAAAAAACTTTGCCACGCTTTTTAACAATATTTGTCTTGGTTGCCATTCTGCAACTCAAAGCAAAGAAATGATGATGACATGACATATATAATGCAGTCGAAAAAGATTGTGTACTTCATTGTACAACTTTTGTTCTTTTTAATGATAACAATGAATTTACAAAAATGTTCACCTTTGTTTATTTATATTCCCAAGCTGGTTGATTAAATTTTCTATTCTTTATTTTATTTTACAAAAAATTACCGTTAATATATCTTAGAAAAACGTTGGTTAAACGTTAAAATTTACAATTACTCAACGCAATGAATGTAAACTAAATTCAGAATAGATATATAAAAAAGCACATGTGTTCTCTAATAATGTCTTTCAAAAAATTTAAATTTTATATTCATAAAAATGGAGACATTTTCAATACAACTTTGTGTACATCGCTAGTGCGACGTAATTTTTCGAAAGCCTGTGCGACCAGAATAAAATATGAATTTATCATCGATTCACTCATATAATATAACATGTAATTTGTAAACTCAAATGTTATTGATGATGTTCATTTCAACATTGTCGTAATTTAACCACTGCTTGGAAACACAAATGAAAGTCAAATACTCTTTTCTCCCAGTAAACGTAGGCATTGCGAAGAAATTTAACAAAATTATATACATGCATACTAAACAGAATCATCGAATCGGATTTTAAAACATTTGTATTTTCGAAACTATAGTTATCTCTAATAATAATGATGTATGTTACAGATTTTTAACTCTTGCCTCGACCCCCACCATCTGAAGGTCTAAGGCGAATCCTTACGGCATGGATGTTTTAATGACAATCAATGTAGAACGTAAATCAATTCTATCTCGTAATTTAATTACAATTTTTTTTTTTTGGGGGGGGGGGGGGGGGGGTGAAATGAATATTTATAAAAAATGTCACTTCAAAACAAGGGGCTTGTCCTTTGCCATTGTGTGTGTTTTCCTTTTACTAGTGGGCACAAAATTCGTTTCGCCGAACTTCTGACATTTTATGAAGAGAGCGGATGTCAATCCATATTTTTTAAAAGTACAAGGATAGAGGTGTAAGGTTCTATGAGAAAAAAACCCCACACTCTTTCAATCTTTCCGCCAGCAATTTTCATTTAACTACTCGCCGCCACCTTGACTCCCATGTATTTTTGTTCACATTCCGTATCGTATAGATGCAAGTAACATTAATGCAGTGACACGGCTACAATTTTTTTTTATTTTGTAAATTTCCTTTTTCTTTTGGAGAATCCAGATGTTTGAAAACACACTTTGAGAAATTGCAATGTTCTTGAAAGAACAAGGTTCACTTTTGCCTTATTTGGCCTTATGAATTTCTGAAAAACTGAAGCTTCATAGTTTTAGTTAACAATGCATTAAAATATCACTTAGATCTTTGTTGACTGCGATCCTATAACAAGAGGCCCACGGGCCTTATAGGTCACCTGAGCATTATGCAACAACTTACCAGTGATTGAATTTGATTCATGTTTTAAGCCAGATGCTATGTCATTCACAATTTTGAAAGTGGCACCATAAATTATCATAACAATACACTTAGCAGTTGCTTAGTTTGTTTACTCAATACCCATAGGCTGGGTGGGGAACAAAAACACGTTTCAACTAATAAGTAATATTCAGCAATAATCAGTAGTGCCCCTATCACACAAAAACCCTTGACCCTTAGGCATAGATCCACACATTTGAAAAGGCCCAGGAGCAGAGAAGAAAATTTTTAAAGATTTAATGTATTTTCACTATATAATCAATAGAGCCCCATCCTAACACCAGAACCCCTGACCCTGGGGCCATAAAATTCACAATTTTGGTAGAGACACTCTTGCTCATCATAACTATGTACTTATTTAATACCCAAGAGCAGAGAAGAAGATTTTCAAAGAAATAATGCATTTTCACTATATAATCAATAAGGCCCCGCCCTAACACCAGAACCCCTGATCCTGGGGCCATAAAATTCACAATTTTGGTAGAGGCACTCTTGCTCATCAAACTATGTACTTAGTTGGTTTATTTAATACTCAGGAGCAGAGAAGAAGATTTTTAAAGAAATAATGCATTTTCACTTTATAAGCAAAAGGACCCCTCCCCTAACACAAGAACCCCTGACCCTGGGGCCATAAAATTCACAATTTTGGTAGAGGCACTCTTGCTCATCATAACTATGTACTTAGTTGGTTTTTTTAATACCCAGGAGCAGAAAAGAAGATTTTCAAAGAAATAATGCATTTTCACTATATAATCAATAGGGCCCTGCCCTATCACCAGAATCCCTGACCCTGGGGCCATAAAATTCACAATTTTGGTAGAGGCACTCTTGCTCATCATAACTGTGTACTTAGTTAATTTATTTAATACTCAGGAGCAGAGAAGAAGATTTTCAAAGAAATAATGCATTTTCACTATATACTTATTTATCCCCGCCCTAGCACTAGAACCCCTGACCCTGGGGCCATGAATTTCACAATTTTGATAGAGGACTCAATGCTGATTGCAATCATGCAAACAATTTGACTGCTTAATGTCCAGGAGTAAAGAAGAAGATTTTTAAAGATTTCATTAATTTCAGTAGTTTTTGCCCCACCCCTCAGGCCCCAAGGGGGCAGGGACCATGAAATTCACAATTTTTGTTCCCCTTTACCCATAGATGCTCTGTGCTAAATTTGGTAGAAATTGGTTCAGTGGTTGTAGAGAAGAAGCTGAAAATGTTCAAATATGTTAACGCACGACGGACGACGCACGACGACGGACGACAGCAGATAGCAATAGGTCACCTGAGTTACTCAGGTGACCTAAAAATGACGTAATCTTCTGGCTAGTCAATGCATTATGATGTCACAAAATGCGTCAATTTCCTGATATTCAGTAAAAGTCTATAAAAACGGCCAATTTTTAAAGTTATTTTTTGATATTTGATATAGAGCGCAACCTCTGATCTAAAATATGCAACTAGTTAATCATAGAACTGTTTCTGAGGATTCATTGATTTTTATCAAAAATGTTTTATCTTTTAGATCAGAGGGTGCGCTCATATTATTTTTCTTCACTCATGCAAAAGACCCGCAACTTTTTTCTTTCAAAACGCTCAGTGCATCATGATCGGAAGGCGGGTAAAAAAATGAGTAGCAACTGTTCCTTCTTCATAAGCTCGGCACTTTTAGGTGAACGTTGAGAAAGATCACGCCCCAAAAACGACGCCTCGTATCACGGTAGCCGTTTGTACGATAAAGATCCCTTACTGCTCAATGACCCTGAGTGCCGAGTAAAAGTCAAAATCTTAAGCCCTTTTCCAGTATATGTTGACGGCTCTTTATGAGTGAAATATTCTCGAGTTGGATGCAAAACAATTTACAATTGATCAACCAATCAAAAGCTCAGTGCTTGACTAAATAAGGACAGCTGCTCTTTATTTTTATTGGATTTTGCAAATTGCAGGCGAGGCTTATAATAAAACTTACGAACCTCTTTTTCTCTTTCCCTTTTTCACTTAACCGGACGTAATGAAAGAGTTAGAAG